TAATCTAGTCCCTCCAACTTTCCATGGGGAGGAAGGGAAATACCCAACTCCTGCTCCCTCGAGCAGTCTCTCACCTAATGAGAAAAAAATCTGAGAAGCACTTGTACAGGTCAAATCCCAGGGATTCAGGCTCCCTAAAAGCCTGAGATCCAATCATGGAACAACAAAACACTTCTCCTTTCCCCACACCCTCCCATGGCATCAACAGGGCTCCTGGATCAAAACAGGATTTCAACTAAAAGAACTTCCAGTCTCAGACCCAGTTGAAGAAGAAGTATCAAGGGAAACCCAGAGAGAACAGGGCAGAGAAAATACACAACACAAACCCTGCAAAAATCAAAGGACCCCAGAGGACACAAGAGCTTCTGACACCTGTGGTGAATAGCAAACAGCAAACATGGCTTAACTCCTAGAACATGAAAAACTCACATTAGGGCCGCCCCAGTGACACAGTGGTTAAGTTCGCATGTTCCGCTTCAGCAGCCCGGGGTTTGCCAGTTTGGATCCCAGGTGCGGACCTACACACTGCTTCTCAAGCCATGCTGTGGCAGCTGTCCCACACATAAAGTAGAGGACGATGGGCACGGGTGTTAGCTCAGGGCCAGTCTTCCTCAGCACAAGAGGAGGATTGGTGGCAGATGTTAGCTCAGGGTTAATCTTCCTCAAAAAATAAAAAATAAAAACTCACAAGAAAGGCCTATTTACCTCAGTTGTTTATACTCAGTACATCACATCCATCTTTCAACTAAACATACAAGCCATACTAAAAGGCAAACCCCCCACAGTTTGAAGAGACAGAGCAAGCATCAGAACTGGGCTGCGATATGACAGAGATTTTGGAATTATTAGACTGGGAATTTAAAATAAGTATAATTAATATGCTAAGGGTTCCAATGGAAAAAGTGGACAACATGCAAGAACTGACGGCCAGCGTAAGCAGAGAGATGAAAAGTCTAAGAAAGAATCAAAAGAAAATGGTAGAAGTAAAAAATATTGTAACAGAAATGGAGAATGCTTTTGATGAACTTGTGAACAGACTGGACAAGACTGAGCAGAGAATCAAGCAAGACTGAGCTTGAAGATATGTCAAGGGAAACTTCTCAAACTAAAAAACAAGAGAAAAAAGACTGAAGAAAATAGAAAACAATATCTAAGAACTTTGGGACAATTACAAAAGGTGTAACATCTGGGTAAAGAGAATGTAAGAGTAAGGGAGGAAGGAAGGAGCAGAAGAAATACTTGAAATAATAATGAATGAAAACTTGTATTTAACATACATCAAACCACAGATCTGGGAATCTCAGAGAACACCAAGCAGGATAAATACCAAGTGATCAACACCTTTGTATATCATATTCAAACTTCAGAAACTCAAACACAAAGATAAAACCTTGAAAAAAGACAAAGGGGAAAAAATCATACCCATAGAGAACAAGTACAAGAATTATATGGTATTTTTCCTTAGAAACCATGCAAGCAAGAAGAGAGTAGAGTGAGATATTTAAAGTGTTCAAAGAAAAAAACCCCACTGACCTAGAATTCTGTACCCATTAAATTCCTCCTTAAAAGTGAAGGGAAAATAAAAACTTTCCAAGATAAACAAAAACTGAATTTGTTTCCAGTAGTCCTGCCTTGCAAGAAAGAAGCTCTTCAGAGAAGGAAAATGCTGTAAGTCAGAAACTTAGGTCTAATAAAGAAAGGAAGAATGTAGAGAAGAAATAAATGAGGTAAAATAAAATATTAGGCTTTTATTTTTCTTATTCTTAATTGATCTAACCAATTCATTTTGTTCAAAATAATATTTGCAAAGATACATTTGGTGATAATAGTTGATGGATAAGTGAGATGTACGAGAGCCATTATATAAGGGAGGGAGGGAGGAATTAGGAAGACAGTGTTATAAGGAAAGTGTGCTAACCATGAAGAAACACAGCATTATTCCCAAGTGAACTGAGGTTAGTTGTAAATTTATATTGTAAACTCTAGGGAAACCATCTAAAAACTTTAAACAAGAAATATAACTGATACGCTAAAAGAGGAGCTCAGATGCAATGTTCACCAAATAGACCACATTCTGGGTAAAAAAAAAAAAAAAAAAAAAAACCCAGACTCAACAAATTTAAAACAATAGAAATCATAAAAAGTATGTTGTAGGACAAAAAAGGACTTTAACGTAAAAAACAAAAATAGAAAGATAGCTGGAAAATCTCCAAATATTTGGAGATTAAACAACACATGGATCTGTGGAAATTAATAAAAGAAACCTTAACTAATTTGGAGTTGGGAAGGCCGGTAGGGGGAGCTGCCCTGCCCTATCACACAGTCTCAATTACCCCAAACAGGAAGGGGCATACCCTGGAAGCTTTGAGACAAGAAAACTACTTTACTGCTGAAGGAAGATTTCTCTCCCCACCCAGCAACAGCCCAGCCAATCAGAAATGCCGCAGCTCAGCCAATGAGAAACCACTGCTGCCTTGAACTGTTACTTTCCCCCATTAGAACTTCCTTTAGAACAGCCGCCACCGATTCCCTCTTTTTCTCTATAAAAGCAGCTCCCCTACCGCCTTGTTTTCTGGATTTGCCTATGATTCGCCAAAGCATGGACTTCCCGAATTGCAATTCTTTTGGTTATTCCCCAATAAATTAATTCTGAGGGTAAAATAACTGGTGAATTTGCCTTTTAAGTCGACAGATCAAAAAAAGAAGTTTCAAGAGACGTGCCAAATATTTTCCACTAAATGAAATTGAATATACAACTTATCAAAACGTGTGGAATGCAGTGAAAGCAGTACCTGGAGGGAAGTTTATAGCATTGAATGCACAGATTATAAAAAAGAAAGATCTGAAACAATAACCTAAGCTAAAGAAAGAAGAGCAATGTAAGCCTAAAGCAAACAGAAGGAAATAATAAAAATTACAGCAGAAATTAATGACGTTAAAAATGGGAAATCGATAGAGAAATCAATAAACCCAAAACTAATTCTTTGAAAAGACCAAAAAAAAAAAAAAAAAAAAAAAAAAAAGGATAAACCTCTAGCCAGGATAACTGGAAAAAAAAAGAGAGAGAGAGAGAGAAACACAAATTACTAACACCAGAAATGAGAGAGAGGCTATGATTACTGATCCCCTGAACATTCAAAGAATAATAAAGAAATATTTGAACACAGGAATATCTTCCCTGATGAATTTTTTTGGATTTATAGCAAATCTTGAAATGAACTAACTCAATTCTTTCTCTACACCTTTAACATCTGGCCAAAATGTTAAAATGTTGGCCAAAATATAACCAAAATGTTAATGAGGATATGATTTAGTGTCTAAATCATTTCCAAATAGTAAGATTCTATTATGCATAAATTAGACATCACTAAAATGCAAACTTTGGGGATTCAAAGGACACCATTAAGAATGTGAAAAGATAATCTACAATATAGAGAAAAATTTGCAACTCATATATCAGAAAGAAACATATCTAGAATACAGAAATAACTATAAAAATTTAGCTATAAAAGGACAAATAACCCACTTAAAAAATGGGCAAATAAGCTGTATAGACATTTCTCCAAAGAAGATATACAAATAGCCATTAAACACAGGAAAAAATGTCAACATCATTAGCCACCAGAGAAATACAAATCAAAACCACAATGAGATATCATTTCCCACCCATAGGATGGCTATAGTAAAAAAGACAGATGGTAAGTATTGGTAAGGATGTGGTAAGCTGGAACCCTCACACACTGCTGGCAGGAATGTAAAATGGTGCAGTAACTTTAGAAAAATGTCTTGCAGATATTCAAATAGTGAAACAGTTACCACATGACCCAAAAATTCCACTCCCAGGTGTACACCCAAACGAAACGAAAGCACGTGTCCACACAAAAACTTGTACATGAATGTTCATAGCAGCAATATTCATAAGAGCCAAGAAGTGGAAACAACCCAAATACCCATCAACTGAAGAATGGAGAAATACATTGTGCCACAGCCATCAATGGAATATTATTCAGCAATCAAAAAGAAATGAAGTGCTGACACATGCTGCAACATGGATGGGCCTTTGAAAACACTATGCTCAGTGAAAGAAGCCAGACATAAAAGGACACACATTGTATGATTCCATTTACAGGGAATGTTCAAAATAGGCTAGCCCATAGAAGCAGAAAGTGAATTTGTGTTTGCCTCCACCTTAGGGGTTAGGGGAAATAGGACTGTCTCGTAATAAGGAAGATGTTTCTTTTGGAGGGATGATGGAAAGCTCCTAAAATTGACTATGGTGATGTTGCACAATTCTGTAAATATAATAATAATAAAAAATACTGAATTGCACACCTTAAGGTGTGACTTGTATTGTACGTGAACCATATCTCACTAAAGCTGTTATGATGATTAAAAAACTGAATTGTTGGGGCTGGCCCCGTGGCCGAGTGGTTAAGTTCGCGCGCTCCGCTGCAGGCGGCCCAGTGTTTCGTTGGTTCGAATCCTGGGCGCGGACATGGCACTGCTCATCAGACCACGTTGAGGCAGCGTCCCACATGCCACAACTAGAAGGACCCACAACGAAGAATACACAACTATGTACCGGGGGGCTTTGGGGAGAAAAAGGAAAAAATAAAAATCTTTAAAAAAAACCTGCATTGTTCATCCTTAAAGTAGAAAGTAATCTCCAGAAGGGAGGACAGAATCTTGTTCACTCGCTCGAAAGGATTTGAATTAGGGCAATGAAAATGCAGAGGGATTCTGTTAGTTAACCCTCTAGGTACTAGAACATCCTGAAATATTCATGGGAATTTCCACACTTTAATTAAAAAAAGAAAAAAGGTGGGGCCAGCCCTGTGGCTGAGTGGTTAAGTTCATCTGCTCCACTTCCATGGCCTGGGGTTCGCTGGTTTGGATCCTGGGCGTGGACCAACACACCGCTCATCAAGCCATGCTGTGGCGGCGTCCCACATAGAAGACCAAGAAGAACTAGAACTATGATATACAACTATGTACTGGGGCTTTGGGGAGACAAAAAGAGGAAGACTGGCAACAGATGTCAGCTCAGGGCCAATCTTCCTCACCAAAAAGCATACCTTTAAAAAAAAAAAGGCACCTAAAGTTTGAAAAAAACATATTCACAAGTGTCAGGAAAGAATGACCATCATTCAGGGGGAGGGGAACGCAAGGAAGTCATCAAATGGAAAACAAGTATAAGAGTTTAGATCACATGGATCTGCACCCTGAATATGAAAGTGGACCCACATTTAGTATTGCTCCACCCCCAAAGATGACATTGAAAGCCAAACAGCCCCATTAACAATATCTCTTTCAAAAGCATCGGTTTGTGAAAAACTATTAATAAATATTTTGTAGTCATGAAGAAATGAATCTTCCAGATTCCCAGTTTTAAAACTAAACGTTTCTGAAGATTCCACTTCATAGGCGTTGGAGGGACTCACCTCCTCGTGGTTGGAGTGGATTCCAGAAATAACAGATGCTGTCAGGATAAAACTGGAAAGAATCCAACAGTGGTTTGTTTTTCACACGTTGGGGTCTCTCATTTAAGCCACGTGATCTGGTTTTGCCCTTACCATTTCACTGGAACACACCTGACTGCTCGATCCAGCAGAAACCTCCCACTCTTTCAGTTGACCTCTGACTTGTGACCCTTCACCAATTCTTTCTTCACACCTACTTGCTTCAGTGACGCCTCATTCCCCTGGATTTTCTACCTCCTATCCGACCTCTGGTTCTCGGCCTCCTGTGTAGGCACCTCTGCCCTGCCCGTCCTCACACTTTGACCACCAGTGTTTTGAAAAGGCTGTATGTTGACTCTCTACAAAAGACATAAATGTGGATCAGCACAACCAGCAGGCAAAGTAACGAAGGATCATGAAAAATTCAATACAGCGTGAGGTGATATTTCAGGGCTTGCGTCTATTAAAATTCATCAGGCTTTAAGGTACCTTTCATGAGTGATCAAAAAAAAATACAAAGGCATTTCGGATTTGTCAAAAAGGTGTGTACCTCTTCTTGATGTAAACCTTTGTCGCCCTCTTCAGTTCACATGACCATCACCAACCACAATACACTCCCCTGGGTTCACAGTGCTCACCAGGGCCAAGGTGGCCGAGGTGCTGGTGCCACAGAAATCCTGGCTACTTAAGCAGGGGACATCTCCAACTTCTGCCTCCCCTACTTCTGTCCTGGGCAGGTCAGGAGGACCCCACCCCAGCCCAGCCTAGGGGCTCTCAGGTGGCTGTCATGACCTAGTCAAGGTTTTAAGGACTTTGGGAGCCTAGGATCACCAAGTACAAATGCATAAAGAAGGGACCCTCTATAAACATTATGACCCTATCGAGGAACATCCTTGACACTAAAAAGGAAGGATGTTGTTTCCACAATAAAGGACAGACCATCCCACAGAACAGCATTTGCCAAGCTGCCCCTGACATGTGTGTGTACACAACATAGAAATCACATTCACCTCCACCTTTCTGAGGGGTTTCCTCCTCTCTAAATGGAGATGATGAGAAACTTACCTCCCAGGGGTGTGGTGAGAATTCAACACGGAGAAACTGTTGAATCCAGCCCCAGCACAGAGTGAGAGGGAAGAAGTGTCAGCTGCTGGATTCTCACACACACGCCTCCTCCTGTCCTTGATCTGCTCACTGCCCTCCATCAGGGAAGACTGCACGGGCCAGCCTGGAACAGAGCCTGGCTGTGGGAACCAGGTCTTGGAGAGCCCCAGTGGGCACACTGGGTCACAAGGCAGGGGTATGGCCCTGCATCTGCCACCAGGGGCCCCACGGCTTCATTTGTCCAAGGCAGCTGGGGTCAATTCTGCCCACCCACCTGAGCACTGACCTGCTTCATACCAAGCACAGCGCTGGGCGGCCATGGTCGGGAGCAAGACAGCTCCTGCCACCCAGGAACGTCAGACCCAGGGAAGGGAGAAACCATGATGGCCTCGGATAACCAGTGATCACTGATCTAGAGCTTCTCATAGAGGTTTAAATAGAAATATAAAGAAGCAGGGCATTTGAAACATAGTCAACAGAAACTGGAAAAAAAAAAAAAAGAAATCATCTAGCTAAATGAGCATGGGGGAAGCATCTGCTTGTGGAAATTTTGGCAGGACGCTCATGAGCTGTGAAGGCTGCCGGCTGACTGTGTAGCAGAGGCAGCAGAACAGAGCCACTGTGTGAGGGAACCAAGCGCAGTGGCGGGAAAACTCCACCCAGAGCGGGGCTGTCACTACCAGTCCCTCAAATTACCTGTTGTAGAATCTGACCGTCACCCAACATCTCCCCTGAAGGGTCATTTTATTCACGGAGACCCATGTGAGCAGCACGTGCTTTGAGCTCTGGAACAGCAAGATGTCAACTGGCCCACACCTCTCAGGACCCGGCCTTGGTCCTGATGTCAACTAGGATGCCCACCTTGATCTGCCTAAAGCCCATAGTGACGGTAGCAGTGGAGGTGAAACCTTTAATGATGGGGCAGGAGATGAAGTCCAGCAGGAGCCCTGGGCAGCCAAGAGGGAATACTGAGTTGGTCACAGCTCTGTCTGGTTCCAGAGGACATGGGTGGATGTGGGCTGGGAGAAGTCGTGTGGGTGGGACTGGGGCTAAGGACTGGTGGTGACACGCCCTCTTTGGGCTGGTTTGGAGAGCAGGAAACGCATGCTAGGTTCTGAGGCTCTGGGCATTTCTCCAAGTGTCCTGGCATCTAAGCAGGATAGGGGAGGGCTGAGGGCATGCCCCTCACAACATACACACACACACACACACAGCACTTGGTATGCAAAGAAGGAAATGCTAACAGCAGGGGCATCCCCAGGAGGCAGGGGCCTCGGAACCCCACAAAGAGCAGAAGTGCAGCCCACCTCCCCCACAGCAGGAAGGTCCGAGAGACTCACCCAAGCACAGGAACCCCATGGCTAACTGCACGCAGCCCCACAGGAAGGCAGCAGCTCAGCACAATGGGGCTCATGGGAAGCGTAGGAGACCAGGAGGGACATGATGGCCGTGGGACCCAGTCACACGCCAGGAGGCGACCAGGAAGAAATACATGAAGCACCCGTGAAGGCAGAGTAGAGGTTGTACTGTCGGGGAGAGAGAGTGATGAGCACCCAGGAGGCAGGCAGCACGCCCTTGGTGTCCCTGATGTAGACGTCTGAGCACAGGGGTCTGTGTGTCCACTGTGTACTGTGACCACACCAGCGCACACGGGCAGGGTAACTGCTCACCCTCTGTTATCCACGGGTGTGACCTGCTATGATCAGGGGACCTCTTTTCTACCCACACCCACAGGGGCCTGAGGTGCTACCTGTGGGAGAACAAAGACCTGTGTGCTTCTGTGTGGGTCTGCGAGCCTGAGGAAGTGTTCTTAGGGCTACAGTGAGTCACCCTGGTGGCCCCATCACACAATCCAGAACTAGCCTAGTGCATGAGTGTGACAAGTATGACAAGAGTAGCTACAGGGGTCTGTGTCCACCCAAAGGCAGTCACATGCTCTCGATTGTAAACCAAGGCTTCCTGGTTCCCTTGGGGCTGGATCCCTGGGTGCCCCACTGTCTGGAGGGGATACTGTGAATTTCTGCTCTGCTTCTGGGTAGTCGCTGAGGCCCAGAGAGGGGTCAGGGCCTGGGGAGGGGATGCAGCCAGCAGCAGGGGCAGACATCTCACCTGGGGTGGGAGTCAGGCCACCTCAGCACAGGCCAGTGCCTGGGGGATGACCTGGACACTAACAGAGCCTGAGGATGAAGTCCATCTTCAGCCACTGAAGGGAGGAGTCGGGCAGCCAGGCCAGGATGGGCAGCCTCCTCTGCACAGCCACAGGGGGCAGCATTGGGTTTGTGAGGCCATGAAGACACCTGAGGGCCTGGCCTGACCCACCACCTCCACAGAAGAAGTCACGCAGGGTGGGCCTGGGGGCAACACAGACCAGCAGTCAGGGTCCGGGCTTCAGAGAACCCAGCAATGGGGGGGGGGGGGGGGGTGAGGGGGAGGTGCAGGGACATCAGGAGATGCACAATATGTTTCCCCTCCAGGAGGTCTTAGCAAGATGGGTTAAATCACTACCCCACCCCCCAGAGTTAGCCAACAACCTGTGCAGAGTGGGCCTCAACTAGAGCTGGAGTTAATGAGTTAATGCCCTACCCCACACTGCTCTCCCTGAATCGCACCTGCCCAAACCCTAGGGGCCTTCTCTCCCTCCATCAGTGCTTGCCAGGAAAAATATGATAAAGGATTTCTCAAGAACAAGTCTAAACAGAGAAGTCTAAACTCATTAGACTCGAGGTTTCTCCTCCCTGGAGAATCTGTTTGCTTTTTTTTTCCTCCTCAGCAAATTTAAGGGGAAGCAGTGCAGAAAGCAGGGTCCAGGGGGCACCCTCATCTGGATGGCCGGGTGTGTGTGTCGGGGGACTGGAGGCCCTGAGGGTCCCGGGGCTTTCTAAGCGCACACCGCGGGGGTGCTCCACCCTCTGAAGGGGAAGCAGCGCTGGAGGGCGGTGTCTCTCATCCTGAGGCCGCGCCTTACCCCAGCTCCCACCTGTGGCATTCACATCCCGAGAGGAGCCCCAGGGGTTCTAGCTGGTTCTGGGAGAATTTCATAAGCACCTCAGTTAATTCAGGGTGCGCAGCACCTTCTAGGATCCTGGCACCCCCTGCGCTGCAGTCGGCCCCAGGTCACCCCTCAGGCCCAGCCCTGGAGAGACTACTCCTGGCAGAACCCAGCCCCACCCCGAAGCCGCTTGCCCCGAATCCTCCTAGGGTCTAAGGGTGGGGACACCACGCCGGCTAACGGTCTGCGGCGGGCCGGCTCCAGCAAGGCCTGGGTCCGAGGTACCGGGTGGGGACGAGCTGCGTGGAGAATGGGGGTCCTCGCGGGAGCGCCCGACCTTCACACCCCGCGGCGCCCCCGGCATCGGCCTCCCCGCCGCCACCCTTCGCGTCCTCAGCAGCCCTCCCGCCCCGGGCCCCAACCCCCCGCCGCCCGCCAACCGCCGCTGACTCACCTGGAGCAACAGCCCCCGGCGTCTTAAGACAGCCGTGGCCGGGCGCACCGAACCTCAGGAGGCGGGGCGAGGGCGGGGCCTGCGCAAACCTGGCCGCGGGGCGGGGCCAGGGCCGAGAGCAGCCTCCGGGCGTCACCTGTGGCCGGCCTGCTAGGCGCGGCGGGCCCTCGGGATCGTGCTGCTGATCCTCGGTGAATGCCACCAGCCCACCCGCCGCCACCCTTGGCACCACCCCTCCACCGCCGCCGTTTCTCGCCCCCAGAAGCGGCCCCAGGTCCCTCTTCACCAGCGGTCAGTGCTAACCCCAGCGTGCCCTGCAGCCCCCACTGCTATTCCCTCCTGGTCTCCCCTCTCTGCTACCCCCAGACTCTTCGTGGTCGGCTTCTTGGAGAGGGAGGCAGGGGCAGCCTCGCCCACCGCGGAATCTACAAGGGTCGGCCTCAGCATTCAGCACCCTACTTGTGCCCTCGGCTCTGAACCTGCACCCCTACTGGTGCCCAGGGCAGCCAGGGCTAACCTTGCAGACCCCCAGCTTGGCAGGTTGGACTTTCCAGAACTCAGGGATCCACAGATCCCAGAGCGGATGCTGGACGAGGGGCTAGTGCCCTAGTCCCAAGAGACCAGCCAGGATCAGGCTCAGGAAAGATCTGAATGACAGCTGGTATTATTTTGGTAGTGGTGGTGGCTATTTCACTGGTAACCGTCCCCCAACCCCACCCCCGCCCCCGCAGCGCCAGAGAGTCATTCTCTATCTTTAAAAGGAATAAGTCATATGTCAAGAGGTGTACATTTTCAGCCCTGGGGGACCACTGGGGAGGAATACAGCAGAGACATAAAGTCACACCGCTGCTACTCAATAGGCAACCCCTACCACATTTTCAAAATGGAAACACTTGCTCAGTCCTTTGCACAACATGTGAAGTAGAACTTTCTTCTCCACACTCTACAGTTGCTGCATTGCTCCAGCAGTGTCAGGGCATCTATGGTATTTGCTCCAATTACCATGGAAACCCAATTTCCAATCCAGAAAATCCAAGACTGTAAAGTCCAGGAATTAAGAGTGCCGGAGTCCCGCCCCGGCTGAGTCCAGGTTCCTGAGGGATGGATGGCGTCGGCGCAATGAGGTGAAAATAAAGAGGACGTGAGACTTGGGTTGGTGTTAGCAAGTCCCACTTTACTGTGCACAAGTGTCGTTTATATATTTTTCAGGATTAGTACAGAAATAGTTCTACAAATATTCTCAGAGAGATAAGGAAGTAAAAAACGAGCACAAGAATATTTATTAGCATTCTATTCTATATAGCATAAGGTTAATGGTAGTCTTCTCCGCAATTAACTAGTGTTTGTTGTCTCTAAGCTAAAAGAGACAGGTACCTAGGCATCGGTTGTAATTCATGGTAAAGTTAAATCAAAGAGAGAAGGTCCAGGCCTCCGGACAGGACAGCAGTCCGTCTGGTTGCATCCTGGTGGAGCCATCCCTGCCTCCCTCAATCATTTACGCCATTAGTGTAGATGGTTAATGGGAACAAAAGGCGACTCCAGGGTGTCTTATCCCCAGGGCTATCTGCATTCTCAGCGGGCAGTTAAACATCTTTACATTTTCGCGCCTTTTAGGGGGTGAAAGCATTCCTTTGTCTTTTAGATTATAGAGCTAACAGTCCCTTAAGCACACTGCCCGGAGAAAATATCATTTTGTTAGTAAAGGGCTGAAAAGCTAAGCTAAACTATATATCTTCAAGAATAAAAAACAAAAATAAGTATAGACATAACCTTGCTAGAAAGCATGCATATAATTCAGAAAGTATCAGGAGTGTCGGCCGGCCATTCTTCACCGAGGGGCATCCCTGCACCCCTCGGCCTTTCTACTCATCAATTATTTATTATTTATTGCTTTTAGGAGAAAACCTCTATAACATTTTAACAGAAAGCAGAAGGTCAAGAATAATATATAGACACTTCTTGATCATCCAATTCACCAGCAAACTTAGAAGGATGATGCATATATATATATTTAGACAAAGAACTGGAGGGAGAAGAAAACATTAACCAGATGGAGGCCATAAACCTAATTCGACATCTTATCTGGGCAGGATTCCTTTCTGCTTGTCTCAAAAGGGACTGTGTGTTCCACCATTAATTAACTGAAAAATATCTTGAAAGTTACCTGCAGGTGGTCACATTCTCTTACTATATCTAATTTTCCCGGGAGGTAGTGCCTCCCAAGCAGCCACCCAAAGGAGTGAAAACTGGAGGTTAAGAAAGGAAAAGGAATGAAGGGCAATTAGAAGCGGCACAGGTTTCAGAACTATGTGAGGGGCTGGTCGGGTATTCTTCACCAAGGGGCGACCCTGCACCCCTCGGCGTTAATCGGCTGGACCCTGTCAAACAGCCGATCAAATGATGCAGCCACGGCTCCCGGCATAAGAGATTCTGATTCATTGAATGTTCCAATCACTTGAGTCCTAATCAGAAAACCTTTTACATTTTCACTCCTCTGGCTGGTTCTCTCTCAGTAAGTGTGGGGTTCACTCTTGTTCAGAATCCTGGCTCTATCACTGAGGAGCTATGTAGCCTTGGGCAGGTTAGTTAATGTCTTAGTTACCTGTTGCCACATCACAAATTATCTCAAACTTAGCAGCTTAAAATAGCACACAATTAACATCTCGCAGTTCCTGTGAGTCAGTATCCAGGCACAGCTTAGCTGGGTCCTCCTCAGGGTCCCACAACACTGCAATCAAGGTCGGTGGGCTGCTTTCTGGGGCTCAGGGTCCCGTTCCAAGCTCACAGGATTGTTGGCAGAATTCAGTTCCTTGTGGTTGCTGGACTGAGGCTCCCATTTGCTTGCTCTCAGTTCCCAGAGGACACTTGTAGTTCTTTGCTAGGTGACCCTCTCCCCACATGATAATTTACTTAACATTAACTTGTTTAGTACTCACTATGACCCTCTGAAGTAGATGCAATTATTATTCCTATTTAGCAGATGAGGAAACTGAGGCTGGATGAAGAGCTGTGATTGGTACAAGGACAACTGTCCAGCAAGTGGCAGAGCCCAAATCAAAGTCAAGTTCATCTGGCTTCAAAGACTACGTGCCTAACCATTACAAGATGCTGCCTCCTGTTTGCTTTGTCTTATTAGAACTTAGTTGAGTGTTATTGTGTCTTTTTATTTTAGAGTATATCTCTTGCACATTGGATAGAGAGGTTCTTGGAAAAGGAGCTATGTCTTAGTCACATGTGTCCCAGGTCCATAACACAAGCCCTGACATGTAAAGTAATTAATAAATGTTTGCTAAATGGATGGATAGGGTGGGTGAGTGGTGGATGTCTGGATAGATGGATGGATGGATGCATGGATGGGATGGATAGTGAATGGATGCGATGGGGGCTGGGTGTGGGTGGTTAGTGGATGGATGGATAGATGAATGAATGAGGTGGGTTGGTTGGTTTGAAAGAGGGATGTGGTGGGTTAAGGAATGGATGGATGGAGAGTGGGGTGGGTATAAAGTGGGATATGGAGTGGGTGGTGGGTGGAGGGATGAGTGGGTGGCTGGGTTGGTGGTGGGTGGGGATGGGTGTGAGATAGGTGAGTGGAAACAGACAATAACTTCTCTCCCATCTGAATAGCTTCCTAGACATTCTCTACTTTTCCTCTGCAGTCATCTTATATTGTACATATTGTTTATCTACAAGATTCAGGCTGGCCTACACTCATCATTGAATTGATACCCATAAATTTATATTCAGATTTAAGAATTCACAAGTCCCTGGATATTACAGGAATTGGCAGATCCTATTTCTCCAGAATGGAGTGAGCTGAATGGCTGCTTAATAAGTGGATGGCACCAGACTATGCAGCTCAGCACCCTGGAAGGCTGAGGGATGCCTCAGCTCCTGCCTGCCTGGAAACGAGAAGAATTTTGCTTTTCCAAGAGCCAATGTATTCCTACTGACAGACCTGTGCATGGCCCTCCCAATACCAGGGATGGGTCACTGAGTGCTGTGGCATCCAATAGAGCATTCTGTGCCCCTAGCCCCATTCTAGAGTGCCAGTCTACCCTGACCTCATTTAGGAAGTGCGGAGCAAGAATAGTTTCATGAGTATTAACAAAGTACTGTGCTCAGGGCATTAATGTCTATCCCATTTAATCCTCAAAGTGGCCCTAGGACCTGGTGCTGATATTATCTCCCCTGGTTCAGGAGTCAGGCGGGGTCATCTGCCCAAGGTCACTAAGCTGCTAAAAGGGCAAGCTGGGCTTTCCCACCACTTGCATCGGACTTCACAACTCTTGCTCTGCACTTTTGTGCTAAACTGCTCCTGTCCAAGGAAAAGGAGACGTGGGGTCTTGACTAACAAGACACTTGGAGAGGACAGGATGGAGCTGGGGCTCTGCGAACAAAACCTTGCAACATGCGATTTTGATAAAGACCTTGGGAGGCAACAGATTCAAACAAACTTCCCCCGCATCTCCCTCTCAACCATGACAATCCCAGGAACACCTCCTGTGTGGCTGATGGACTAGGGAGGGGAAAACTTCTGATGTAACCATAGGATTGTTCGAGGAGGCCCTGCTGGCTCCCTCCACTGAGCTGCAGATCCCAAAGAATGCTCCCAATCACCGGCCAGAACAAAAGAAACCAGGGAAACTGAGGAAAGAGTTAGGGGAGACCCCCAAAGGACTGTATGTTGATGGGGCTCCTTGTGCAAAGCCCTCAGCACAGCGCTGTGTGAATCTGAGAGCCCCCCGTGCCCTCTTTCCTTCTTCATTGTGCTGGGTCATTCCATTGGCCCTCCCACATCCGTTCTCCGCCCTTCTCCACCATGTGTTTGTTGTTCCGTGGGTGCTGGGCTTCAGCAGCTCTAAATGTTGTTTAATTGCCAACATTGAAAAATAGAGCTGACTTCCTGTTTCTTCTCTTGAACATCTGAAAAAACTGGCAATACTGGGCCCTCATTTCTTTCTACCCAACTTAATTGCTAACCAGATCTGTTCTCTCAGGTCAGCTAAGCCTTACAGTGCCGAAGTCCACTCTCAGCATCTTGAGCAAAACAACCAAATTCTGGGATTTTGAGATTGTTTATAATGCCCTGGATCAAATGCCTGAGTGCCCTGGATCAGATGATGCTGACTACCAGCTGTCCCCTCCCTCAACTCCCCATTACATGTGCTTTGTGCTCCTGGTTTACCACAGTCCCCACCACTCCCTGCTGCCCTGCACCTGGCCCACTTCTCTCACTCATCATGCCTGCCTGGCCCCTGTGGGCATCTGAGATTGTGGGATAGACCAGCAACCCCAAGTCTCACATCAAGTCCCTCGGGGATGTACTATTATCATCCCCAGTTCACAGATGTGGAAACAAGGTCAACGAGACAGTGACTTGCCCAAGGTCACACAGTCAACAAGTGTCAGAAGTGGATGTGAATATAAGGGCTCTGTCAACTCAAGACCCTTATGGAGAGCAGAGAGCTTGCATTTGTCTGTTTGTGACCATCACAAAAAGCTTCCCTCGTTTGGTTTGCTGTCCCTTTTTCATTCTTCAGACCTTGTACGAAGGCAGGAGGCAGGGAGGGCGGGGACTGGCAGCGACCTCACCCCCAGCCCCGCCCAGTGGGTGCCAGTGTCAAGGCCACACTGCTGTGTCAGGCGTGTCCTCCGCCCCCCAAACACACACATAAAGCGGCCTCGGCGGCTGGTGCGGGGGTAGGGGGCAGGGGCCAGAGAGATTTCATATTCTCTCCTCTTAGAGAGCTCACAGCTTGGATGGTAGCCTCTAAGGAACAAATTTTCTCAGGGAGACACACAGGCCTGAGCTTTAAATGATTCCATGAATTTTTTTTTTTTTAAAGATTTTATTTTTCCTTTTTCTCCCCAAAACTCCCAGTATATAGTTGTGTATTTTCAGTTGTGGATCCTTCTAGTTGTGGCATGTGGGATGCCGCCTCAGCACAGCCTGATGAGTGGTGCTATGTTCGTGCCCAGGATCCAAACCGGCAAAGCCCTGGGCCGCTGAAGCAGAGCGCGCAAACTTAACCACTCAACCACGGGTCGGCCCTGAATCCATGAATTTTTATGGCTTTTCTCCCTGCTTCTGCCTCACTCTTGGCCATTACACAAGGTCCCCACTCACTGCCTGTGGATGCCTCTTCACTGCTGCGCAGAAGCCGCAGGTCCGTACTCCGAGCACAGAGCCACGAGGGGGCGCTGCCGAGCAGTGAATGAGGGCGAGGTTCCCTCTCCATCAGCCGCTGTAGGTTATGGAGCCCTCCAAGGGCTTCACACAGGTTCCATCATTCCATCCTCACAACGACGCCGAGGAGGAGGCAGTGAGGCACAGACAGGCGAAGGTACTTACCTAAGGTCACACAGCTAGGAAGTAATGGAGACAAATTCAAATCCATAAACCAGTGGCAGAAGATTCCTGCAGCAAAAATGTCAGCATAAGGACACCAGCTGTCCTTGCCTTGGAAGGGCGATGGTTACTTTTTTCTGAAGCTAACATTGTCCTTCCTATTCTTTAGGTGTTAAAATGGTATTTCTTTATGCAATGATGGAAACAGTGGATGTGTGTATGTTGTCTTTTTTCTTGCCCTTAATAACCAAAATTAAACATTTTTTGCTATTCTGTGTCTCCCCCTCCAATCTCCAGACCCAAAATTCCAAGATCTAGGACCATATATCCTGAAGACCAAGACCCAGTGGACTGGCAAATGGCACAATGGGGAGTCACTGAAGGGTTTTCAGCCTCGGGCACTGGAGGAGAGGATCTTGACATCCTATTGGCATTTTTCAAGATCCCCTTGGCTGCAGTGTGGGAAAGAGGACAGAAGGCTCGAGTGGGTGGGGGTAGGGGACAGAGGAGGGCCCATTGGGTGGTGCAAACCAGTCACATCGACTAGGAGCAACATTTGAACCAAGGGTCAAATAATTTCTGGCAACAGAAAGATCATCCAGAATGGAAAAGAATCAGCCCTTCTGGGAGCCGGTGGGCAACTCCATCCACCTGCAAGGGTCTGACCAGCCTGTACCATCTCAGGGAGGGAGACCACTTGCTGTCCCAGTTTGCCCAGGACTTTACCACTGAAAGTCCCAAGTCAGGGGAAGCTCCTCTGTCCCAGGCAAACTGGGACGGTCGGTCGCCCTAATCTCAGAACCAGGTTTGTGTGTCAGTGAGGGCACAGCTGCATCTTGCTCTGTTCAGCCTTTCATTAGAACATGCCAGGCAACCCCAATGCACTGAACTGGAGATTCTGCCTTTACTGTGCCCTGCAGCACTAAATACATTCTCTGTGTCAGGAGTGGGATAAGCAGTCTTCTGAGCAAGATGCTTTGTGACCAATAGCTGTTCCCGTGAACTGGGAATGGGCTGTTTGGACTGGGCAAATATTTGGATTAATATGTATGTCATGCCTTTAAAGGAATCCTATATGCTAAAGTATCTATTACAGTAAAAATGCACTTTTATTTTAAAGAAGGACTTGGCAAAGCCTTGTGATGACACGCTTGAGCTGGGATGCCAGGCTGCCTGGGTTCACTTTCTGCCTCTGTCATTTCTAAGTCTCGTGACCTTGGGCTTGTTACTCACTTAGCCTCTGCGTGTCTCAGTTTTCTCGTGTGTAAAACAGAGATAACAAGAACATCTACCTCCTAGAGCGATGGTGAGAGGAGGCATGGGAAGTGCTGGGCACCACGCATGGCGTACTTCGTGAAGCACTCAGTGAACGTCACCTGTAGGGAGGAGACACGGCACCTTCACCAGACTGCTGTGTGGAACTGACTGCACTGGAGCTGCACTGGAGCTGCCGTTAGCCATCAGCACATGTGGCGAGTGAGCATCTCGAGTGGAACAGAGATGGCTGTCCTGCCAGATATGCTTTGAAGATTTATTAAGAAAGAAGAATGTAAAGTAGCTCCTTGCTTGTATACTGACTAAATATTGAGTTTGAATATATTAGGTAAAATAAAATGTTATTAAAACGAATCTTGCCTGTTTTTAATATGGCCACAAAAATTTTAGAGGTTTAGACTTATGTATGTGCTTTCCATTTGTGGGTGACATTCTCTGTCTCCTGAACAGTGTTGGACAAGAGGTCTGGGGTCCCAGGACAAAAAGAATGAAGATGGGACCTGTGCTACCACTGAGAAATGCTGCTGT